ACCTGCAGGATTCAAACCTGGGACTGTGGACTTCATCGGAGTATAGGAAAGAACTTTCTAGTTAGAGCCGTTACCTGTTCACCGGACGCTGGCAGTGTGTTGGTCAGGTGGACATAAGCTAGGCCTCTGATTGTAAAAACATTGGCTGTTTATTATAGAGCATTTGGAAAATGCAGAGAGTAAAATCAGCTGTACCTCACCACGCAGAGAAAATCAGTTTCCCAGAACAGCCCTGTAGGTGAACCCCCTGCCCCCCATTCACACATGTGCATATCCATCCACAAGCCTCTGTTTGCTTCCTGTGGGTGTCCCACCACGAACCAGGCCCCTGCCGGGTGCCTGGGCCGTTCCACTGTCATAACTAATGCAGGAGTGAACATTTCTGTGGCTTAGAGTCCATGCAGGCATAGGATTTCTGCAGCCACCACCCCGGAGGTGGAGTGGATGGGCCACAGTGGTGTGCACATTTTGAGGCTCTTCATACAATTTTCAAATACTGATTGGCTCTCAGACTTCGTGGTGTGGGCGGCTTGGGACGCTTGTCCCTCTGGAGGCTCTAAGAACCCTCACATGCTGATGACGCCCACCTTTACGGCTCCAGCCCCACCTCAGGCCTGACGTCACCATGTCCCGAACTGAACTTCTGATCTGGCCCCTGGGCCAGTTCTACCTGCAGCCTTCTCCCATCCTGGTCAATGGCAGCTCCATTCTTCTAAGTGCTGGGGCCAAACCCCTCAGGCTTGGTTCTTTCTTAGCACAGCCACATCCTCTTCAACAGGAAACTCTCTCAGATCTACCTTGAAATATGCCCAGAATCTGCCAGACCCCACACCATGTGCCCATGTCCCTGGCTACAGCCACCAGTCATCACTGGCTCACATCACTGTGGTAGCCTCTCCACCTGCCTGCCTGCTTCTGCCCTTGCCCCCTCCAGTGAGTCCTCGACACGGCAGCCAGCGAGCTCCCTTACACGTGACTCATTCATATCGCTCCTGGCTGTCTGAAGACCATGACTCCCCGTTAATGCACATCAGTGGTTTCCAGTGGCCATCATGGGCCTGTTGTCTCTCCGTCCTCATTTCCTGCAACTCTCCCCACCGCGCACCCCGTTCCAACTGTTCTGGCTCCTCTGTTCCTCATGCACGCTAGCCTACTCTTGCCCCAGGGCCTTTGCACGGGCTGTCCCCTCTGCTTGGAAGGAGTTCTCCCAGAGATCCACATGGCTCACTTTTCTGATTCCTCAAGAGTTTGTTTATTTGTCACCTTTCATGACAGTCAGACCACTCTCGCCCTGCTCCTTTCCTCTCTTTGCACTCATTCGCCCTAATACTCTGTCAGACTTGCTCACCTGCTGGTACACTGTCTGTGCTGGTCTTTCCCGGACTGTCAGCCCCATGGCAGGCCTTCAGTTTTCTTCTGAGCTCTGGTGTCTAGCACAGTGCCTGGCCCACAGCAAAACGTCAGAGCAGACATGTACAGTGTGGCCAGGCCTGGCTCAGAATGGGGTTCAAATCCAGACTTGACCGCTGATTAGCTATGTGACCTTGGACAGTTATTTAACCTCTCTGAGTCCTAGCTCGTAGACTACTCCGTGCGTCACAGTGCCTCACAGTGCCTGGTATGTAATATGTGCTCAGGAAATGTCAGCGTTATGAGTCCTTGAACCAGGTTTAGGAGCCACCCAGGTCCCTGGGTACTACGGTTATCAGGATGATCGCTTTGTAAGTTATATAAATGTCCAGTCACTGCACCGTACACCTGAAACTAATATACTGCATGTTAACTGTAATTGAAAAATAAAAATTATTTTAAACATTAATAAATGAAAACCAAAGCCTCCTTTCAATAAAAAAGTTAGGAGGGGAAAAAAGAGCTATCAAAGTCTCAATGCCATTTTACGCAGAGATATTCACTGTGGTGTTGTCTGTGGTGGCAGGAACCTGGAAACTTCCAAGTGCCCAGCAGTAGGAGATGTCTCCAGTGCGGTACATCACACTAGGAACTATTATTTAGCTCTGAAAAGAAGGAGGTAGATGCCCTGGCTGGTGTTGCTAAATGGTTAGAGCACCAGCCTGTGCACTGAAGGGTTGCGGGTTCAATTCCCAGTCAAGGGCATGTACCTGGGTTGCTGGTTCACTCCCTCTGCCCCCAGGTCAGGGTGCATGTGGGAGGCAACCAGTCGACGTGTCTCTCTCACATCGATGTTTCTCTCTCTCTCTCCGTCTCCCTCCCTACATCCCTTTTGCTCTCTCCAGAAAAGCAATGTAAAAAATATCCTCAGGTGAGGAGAACAACAAAAAAAAAGAAGGAGGTAGATATAGCAATGTTGACCCGGAGGGTTTTCTGTGAAATTTATGACATGAGAAAAGCAAGTTGCTTTTGTGCGTGGTGAGTCCATTATTCTAAAGCTGAACAGCAGCCACCGCGCTCTGGACACGTGTGTAATTGAACATACTTGCCTGGGTGCACAGCAAGGCCTGGAGGAAGCATGCCAGGCCCGACCTGCCATGCTGGCCATCAAACCAGTCACGTTTGGCTCACCAAAACGGAATTATTTGTTAACATTTAAAAATTGAATTCATATAAAAAGCCGGATTTCCAGCTGCCACTTTTGACAGAGCATGTGGCCTCGGAAAGGCCAGTGTCCCCAGCCACCTTCCCCACCCCAAAGTCTCCCTCATTTATAGCCCCTGCCGGGGCCCTGTAGACTGTGGTTTGTACCTTGGGATAGGCTGTTGACATTCGGAAACTCATGGGAGTGGGGCAGGGGGCAGGAATGCAAAGCGATGGTGGGGGCATTTGTCTTTATATAAATACACCCTAGAACAGGGGTGGGCAACCTTTTTGTGAGTGCGTGCCAAAACCAGCAAAATCTCTGACTCAAAATTCTTCTGCGTGCCAACCCTAATTTTTTGAGAACATGTTACGCCTACTTGATATCTCTTAAGGTGTACGTATGTGAAGAACCTTGAAGAAATAATGAAATTCATTCGAGCGACAAAAACACAGTATATGATGATGAAAAATACATTTATTTTTTAATGTATACATGTACACTGATAGCCCAACAGAAAACTTTATGACTCGGTTTGATATTATCAGTGGGACTTTTGCTGCTGCATCACTGATGACAGAGATTTTACATCAGGTTTATATTTCGTGACCTTCAGAGATATGCACGAGCTACTACTTTCATCCGTCAGGCTACTCCTATTACGAGACTTAACAAAATTCATCACTGAGAACAAAGATTCACAAGCGTATGTGGATGAAACCAAAACACTGGTCGGATCTAGGAAGGCAGGGAGAGTTAAGGCAGAGGCATAGAAATTGCTCTTCCCCTCTCTCGTCAATCCATGTCTATGGTCTTTAAGATAACTTGTTATGTAAAATTACTTATTTATCTAAGATGCACCTACACTGAATTTATCTGAAAAATAAAAAAAAAGTCAATATTAAGAAAAAATTGTAAATGGAAGATTATAAGAGAGGGTTTCCCGTGCCAGCAAAAGTTACTGGCGTGCCATGTTTGGCACGCGTGCCAGGGGTTGCCCACCCCTGCCCTAGAATCTTTTACTCTTCCAATGACCGCTTCAGACCTAGTGATTGGGACATTGTAAGTACAGTATTAGAAGGGAAACGAAGGTGCCGCGGGCCACTGCATGTTGTGTGGGTCCGGAACCACCTGGTGGGGTCACTGCGCTGTCCACTCCGCTGGGGGAGAGACCACTCCACGTGTGGAATAAGGGATCTGCCCCTGGCCTTTCCTGAACCTCTTGTCCCTACATCTTGCCGGGATGTGGAAGAATCTCCAAAAAACTCCTTCCCTTCAGCTCCCTTCCCCTCCCCATGTCCTTCCTGATCCCTTACTGAGGAGGGAGGTGGCATGTCAACTTGGGTCCAGATGCCGAACCCCACTCACTAGTTGGGGGTCTCTGAGCAAATTGTTAAATGGCTCTCAGCCTCCAGACCCTGCCTGTGGAGCAGGGACGGTAAATCCACCCAGGCAAGGCGCCCAGCATGTGCTCCCTGCAGGATGCCGTGCGGGCCCTTGGGTAGGCCCTGCAGCGGATACAGAGGTGCTGGGCCAGGTTCCTGCACCCGCAGGGCTGACGGTTCAGAGGAGGCAGGGAGAACCAGCTGAGGAGCAGGCCCCGCCCCTTGTCCCGGCTGGTCTCCAGGGAGGCCGGCTCCTGAGCCTCTGCGGGGTGGGGAGGAGCAGCCCACCCTGCCCGCCACTCTTAGACCTGGGACCTGCCTTGCTGAGCCTGCGGTAGGTGGGCCCCAGATCTCCCTGGCGCTGCGCTCTGAGCCCCCACAGTTTCAGCTCCAGCTTCCCACAGATTTCCTGTGAGTCCTGGGCAGGTCATCTTTCCTCCCTGTGCCTTTTGGACCCCTAACTTGCTGCCCCCTTTCGGAACTAATGTTTTGGGGTGACATGGTGGATATTTAAAAAACTACACACAACAAGAAAAAACATGCTTGCCAGGCTCTTAGGCTGGAGAGAGGCAGGGCAGTGGGCCTGACAAGCCCCTCATAGATGCCTGTCTTCCTGCCCAGCACCCACCTCCCAGCCCGTCCCCAAACTAACCAGGCTCCATCACTCACCCGGATGCTGCCCTGGAGGATGGAGGCGGCAGCTCCTCCTTCCACCCACTGAGCCCAGAACATGCCAGGATCCCACACTTGTGTCCACTGCTGAGCCTCACCCATGGCTGAGCAGCCACCCCCAAGGGCAAGGAGGGCATGTGCCCCCACCCCAGCCCAGTCACGCTCAGGCCGCCGTGTTACACCCAGGGTTGGACCATGATAAAATCAATGACGCAGACCCTCTCTTCTTTTCCGAGTCCCCACTCCTGCCCCCGCCCCTATTTGAGTTGACTCCCTCTTTTCCCTTCTCCCTGGAGCTGCAGGGGCGGGAGGTGCTAGAGGGCCTTGAAGAACAGGCCCCCCACCACTAGGCCGCTTCTCACGCCCTCCTTCTTGTGTCCCCAGGAGCCATGAGGTGCCACGTTGCCACCAGCTGCCACGTGGTGTGGCTGTTTGTGCTGATCTCTGGATGCTGGGGTAAGTTTAGTCCTTTCCCCCACAGCAGGCATGGGAAGCCAGGGCTGCAGGGTGTGGGGGCCGGTGTGGGGTTGGCGCTTTGGGGCAGGAATCCCGCCTTGCAGTGTGACTGGGTACACACTTCCCTCCCTGGGCCTGGGTTGCTCTGCAGCACTCTCAGGGCTGAAAATACCCATCCCCAGGGCCTGGGCCACTGGAGGCGGTGGGAGGAGCCTTGAGAAATACTTGAGCTTTAAGGGAAGGAGGCATCTGTGACCATGAACCGTCCTTCTTCAGCCCAGTCTACTCAGTTTTCCAGCTGTCTTTTGAGCACCTACTGTGTGTGTCACCTGCGACCAACTCTGGGGCGTGGAAGAAACGACTCGTTCTCAAGGAGTTCAGAGCCTAGCGGATTTACTAGACAACGCGAGGCTTTACTCTGCTGCAGGTGAAGAGAGTGGGAATAAAGGACAGAGGAGCCCGTCTGAAGGAAAGATTAATCGGGCCTGCGGGGATAGCCGACACTCAGCCAGAAGGGAGACACTTACTCTGCACTTTAAGGACTGAGTTTTAAAATAGGGGAGCGGGAAGAAGGGACTCCTGCAGGTGGGGACCGCCTGAGCAAAGGCGTGGAGGTGAGGGGCCTCTTCTCTCTGCCTGGAGGACCAGCCCTCCTTCCCCTCTTCCCGGGTCAGGGCCAGCGGTAGTGTCCACCGAGGAGGCCAGGGCATTTGCCTGTCCTGGCCCCCAGTACAAACAGCTCTGGTCTGATCTGAAGGAAGGCCAGGACAGCAGGCACAGCTGGCACCATGTCCCTGGGGGCCAGGGTGTCCTTGGGGAAGAGCTGTGGGCACGGTGTGCCTGGCGACAGGCAAACACATTCCTGAGGGAGGCCAGCTCCTTCTCCCACTCTAGGGAGCCGGGCGCCTCTGGAGGAAGCCACAGCCTCAAGCTTGTTGGGGTGACACTGGCATCCTGATGCCTGGAAGTCCCCTGATGGTCCCCTCTCCTGGCCTCCGGGCTTGGAGGGATTTCTGCTGGAATGCTCCTGCGATGGGGAGCTCACTCCCATCCCGGCAGCCAGGTTATGGCACAGTCACAGAGACTCTCCGGGTGGAGCTGGAAGGGGTCTCAGACCCTCTCAACTGTGGGCCCACTTTCCAGGGGAGAAACTGATGCTTTGAGAAGCAGCTGGCCCAGGTCACTCAGTCGAGGGTTCAGCTGCGCTTCCATGCAGGTCTCTGATCCTTCACAGGGGCTTTTATCAAGATACACCCTCCCCTGCCTACTCCCCCCGGGGAGACCTTACTGGGGGGTACCCTCTGGGTTTGCTAGAAGGTGGCAATCAGGACCCTTTCCTCAGCCTCCTGTGACCTTGGACACTCATGCCCTCCCAGCACATATGTAACCCCCCAGCATCTAAGTAACCCCAGCATATATGTAAAATCCCCCAACACATATGCAAAATCTCCCCAACATATATGTAAACCCCCAGCACATATGTAACCCCCCAGCATATATGTAACCCCCCAGCATCTATGTAAAATGAAACAGGTGCTGAGAGCCCAGCTGCCTTCCCCAGTCGAGGTGGCGTGTGCCTGAGCACCAGATGCGCCCTCAGTGGGCACGAGGCAGCAGCACAGAGCCAGGACTCCCGGGTCCCACCTGCTGCTCCCAGGGTCCCGCGGCAAGCTTCTTCACTTCTCTGTGAACAGGAGGGGCAGTAGGACTCTGCTCCTTGGTTGTAAAATGGTCAGAGGAGTTACCACGCATATCCAGCACTTAGCGTGATGCCTGGCACATGTTCTGTGCTAAGTAAGTGAGAGCTCTTTCATATCAGCTGTACCTTTTCCTAAGGGGAGCGAAATGGGACTCAGAAAGCAGAAGTGAAGTAAGTGCCTGGGGCCACCCAGCAGGTCTCTGGCAAAACCAGCCAGCCTGTGGTCTAGCCTGCCTGGCATCGTGGGCACAGCCCCTCCTCCTGGGCCCCACCTGAAACAGCCAGCACTCCTTCGGCATGGTGGGCGGGGGCTGACCTTAGGGACCGAAGGGCACCATCTTCTCACCGTGCCCTTTTGACACCTGCCCCCAACCCCGAGCACTCGCCTTGTCCCCCAGACTGCACCCCAGGGCCTCCCCTTTCTTCCCAGCTGACCCCACGGCCCAGCTGATTTCTTCTCCCATCCCTGGTGGTCAGAGGTGGGTCAGGCTCAGGGACAGATGCCCCCTAGATGTCAGCCCCCCTTGTCAGCCTGTCGCCTTCTTACCCTTCTCTCCTCTGGCCTGTGTGCTCCCAGGCACTTCTTATTCTGCACCCGTGGGCCTGTAGGGGAGGCCAGAGCGAAGGCCTGGACAGGCCTCCTTGCCCCTTCTTGCTGGCGGGGCCAGGGAGCATCGCTGCATCGCTGGGTCACGGAGGCAGTCTCTGGGCACTGGGCCTGAGGGCCCCTAACGTGGGGCTGCGGGCCTCACCTGACATCAGCACATATGCCCATGCACACTCCCACCCCCGGGGGCCTCAAAGCTCCCGAGGCAGTGGTTTTGCCTCTGGAGGACACAGCCTTTGTGCCTGAAACGTGGTCTTTACAAGAACGAGCGGCCTGCCAGCATGCCCCCCCCCCAGCAGCCCCTCCCAGTCCCCAGGTGCCACGCTGGCAGCTCAAGGCCACCCGCCAGGCCTCCGAGGGTGGCCGGCCTATTCCAAGAACACGAGCCCTGCTTGGTATGTGGCAGGCGATGCATGTCCCCTGCGCTCTGCCCAGCTGCCCGTGCAGAGCTCTCAGCGGCTGATTATCGGCAGGTCCTGTAAGATCAAATTTAAAAATGAACCGATGCTGCTGCAGGCGATCTTTTCCTCGCTGGTTCCCCTCCCCCACCAGCCCAAGCCCGCCCCGAAATCTCTGGGCACCCCTGAGCCTTCTACCTTTGCTCAGTCCAAGGCCCCCACAGGGATCCAAAGCATTCCCCTGGCCGAGCAGACGGCCCTGTTATTAATACCAATATTAGTAATAGCTACCACTTACCGAGTGCTTGCTGTGTGCTGGGGCATGGCGTTAAGCGCTTTATGTATGTAATCTCATTTAATCTCGGGGCAGCCATGATGTAAGTCCTATTATTATCACTGTTTTACACGTGCGTAAACTGAGGCATGGGACAGAGGCTCAGGGAGGCAGGAGGGGGAAGGGCCCCCTTGACTCCAGCCTTCTGTGAGTCGGCCTCAGCGTTCTTGAGCCTGGCCCAAGCTCTGAGGCAGCCCACGTCAGCAGAGGTGAGGGAGCGAGGGCGGCACCCCTGCCCACATCCAGGGCGCCTGGACACCCAGGAGCTGCTATGGCAGGTGCTGCACTGCGTGGGCCCTGTGAGAAGGATCAGCTCCCTGGTCGGCAGAGGCCGAGGGAAGCGCCCTCACTGCCTCCTCTGGCTGTTCTCCAACACCAACACCCAGTTCTCTGCACATCCACGGAAGGTCTCACCATTTAGTTTTGACACCAACTACCTGACGTCCGCATCAGCTTCCACAGATTTAAGGTTGAGGCCCCTCTCAGGGGCCTGTCACAAGTCCCAGGCCCCCTGCGCTTTTCACAACTGGCTCTAAATCGGAGGTTCCCATGACCTTTCCTTGGGTTCAGTTATCCAGGACGACCCACAGACCTCAGGGAAACCCCCCACTTCCATTTCCTGGTTTAATCTAAAGGCACAGCTCCGGAGCCCCAGGTGGAAGACATGCACAGGACGAGGTTCGGAGCTCTGTGCCCTGTCTAGGCGCTGTGCCCTGTCTAGGCGCTGCCACGTTGGCACATGCTCGTGTCCAGCCCCATCTTGGGGCTACCCAGAGGCTCCACCCAAGTCACCTCAATGGCATAAACTCAGCTGTGGTCAAAGGACTGCCTTATGACTAACAAGACATCCCGTCCCTTCGGAACTTCCAAGGGTTTTGGGAATCTGTGCCGGAAACTGGGACCGACACCAAATATATTCCTTATGGTGCCACACTGTGGAGGGCCATGCGAAGGGGACAGGTGAAGCCAGCCTCAGGGAGTTTCTGTGTGTGGGGGGGGGATTGTGGTATGGGGGGCTCTTTGTGGATGTGAAATTCCTCAGGCCATGCAGTATCACCCTGACCCCTTCTGGTACCAGCCCCACTCTCAGGTGTCACAGAGTCCTACAGGCTTAACTGCCCAGGGTTTCCAAGCAGCCTGCCGCTTACTAACTGCACGACTCTGGGCTAGTTCATATGTATCCCCCCTAAGCCTCGTTTCCACAACAGAAAAATGGGGCTATGATGGCACCCACCATACCACGAGGATTGGTGGAGACGGTATAGTGACTGGTACAGAGATGGGGTCCATAGATGGCAGCCATCATCATCATCATCATCATCATCATCATCATCATCATCACTACTTCTACTACTACTATTATTGTCATCATTTACAGAGGGCCTCTGGATGCCACACCCTTTCCTGGGCACCAGGGTTGTGGCAGTCAGCAAAGCAGACCGCCCTTGTCCTTGCCAGCTCACATCCCATCTGGTCTGGAGCTGGGCTGCCCACTAGAAATACAATGCGAGTTAGGTGTGTGATTTAACATTTTCCAGGAGCTGCATTAGAAAAGAAACAGGTGAAATTCGTTTTAATAATATATCTTAACCCGATATATCCATAATGCGATCAGTTCAACACGTAATCAATATAGAAGATGAATGAGGCATTTTACACTCACTTTTCTTACAAAGTCTTTGAAACCCTGTGTGCATTTTACACTTCAGCACAGCTCACTGTGGACCAGGGCTCGATAGCCACCATAGCTGGTGGCCTCGCTGAGGGTCCGTTTGCCTTGAGGAAGGCGGCCATGGCAGTGGACAGTGCAGTGCCCACTGCAGCCCAGCCCCTCTGTGTCCCCTTGGAGAATGCAGGAAGCTGGCAGACGGGTACTTGACTGACGCTCTTGTCCTCTGACTTCCAGGCCAGGTGAACCGGCTGCCCTTCTTTATCAACCACTTCTTCGACACGTACCTGCTGATCAGCGAGGACACGCCTGTGGGTGAGTTGACCCAGGGCTGGTGGGCATCTGGGTGGCATGAGGTGGGCTCCTTTCCCACAAGTGAAGGTGATCTTAGAGCCTGAGACCACCTTCCACCCATTATTGGAGCCTCCTCCATGGCATCCCTGATGGGCGTTCCTAGGGCTTCTGCTTGGGGCACTCAGCACTTCCCATGGTGGCTCATTCCAACAGAGGGGGATTCTAAGTATCAGAGAGGCTAGCATACTGAGCCCAAGTTGCTTGACTTTCGCTTCTGCATGAGTTTTGTCCTACAAAATGGTTATTTTCCTCTTTCTTGTGAAAATTTGAAGATGGAAGCTGTTGCAGACTTTGTTTTGTAGCCTTTTGAGCTTTTCTGGGATTACTGTATTTCCTGCATTGAGTATGCCTGTTTTTGTCATTAGAAAAAAAAAAAGAACTATTTAGTAGGTGATCGTAAGCATCCTGGTGTTCACCCCTTGCCTCCCCCCAACCCCCCAGCTTGCCACCTCATCACCCTGGTCCGTCCTCATGGGCCCCCTCCTGAGGACCTGGCTCCTACACCTGTAGCTGGGGATCTGCATGCACAGCCCCATGGCCTTAGTTCAGCTCTGGGGACCCAGAAGTCTCTCAGGAAATGGGAACTGAATGGAATGAAGTGTCTTGCAGCTGTTCTGACAGGCAGGCAGTCTTTCCTGTGAGCATTGTGCAAACACAGTGCCTGGAAAGGTCCCGCCCACCTCCGCAACACCCTCTCCCCCGTCCTCTCGTTCTCAGAGGTGTCATTTCAGGGAAAATGCCTGTAATCTGGGGCTTCTTACGCGGGTGGAGTTATGTGCCAGGAGCTGCGTACAAGGGGTCAGCATGGCCCATCCGTCTGGCGCATCATTTGTACTTAGAAACGAAGCAGGTGACTTGGAGAGTGGAGGGGTGTTAAGATATTTACCTAATAGGTAATTTAAAACACTTTTCTATAAAACCAAATGCAGGTGCTTGAAGTGGGGAGCCTTAGGGGGCCCCAGACTTCCCCTGCTGTCTGGGGGCATGCGCACAGCCCCTGAGGAGGCCTTGCCTTCCACTCTCCCTCATAGAGCTTTTCTGCAGGTGGGTGCTGGGCACAGCAGGTAGCAGGAGTGTTTCCGACTGCTGTGGGGATGATCCCCGTGGCCCAGGAACGGTTCATTTCTAGGGACGGGGGTTAGGGGGGGGCCTCTGCGGTCACTCCTTTGGTAACTAGCAGCCTCCATGGATGCCACTGTGAGGCTGAATCTGGGGACTCAGGTTTGGGGATCTGGGTGTTTGAAGGGCTACCTAGAGAAGTGGTTGCCTGCCTCTCTGGAATGTTCTTCCAGAGGTTTTGCCCACTTCTGGAGGCTGGAGAAGGTTCGTGCTAGCCCCTTGGAGACCTTGTTGAGCTGTTTCCTCCCCTCTGGCTTGGATCGGGGATGTCTGTGGGCTCCTGGATTCATCTGTGGCTCCTCCCCACACTCAGGCCTGGCAGGGGCTGGCACGGAGCCAGCAGAGTAGGCACCCAGCACACGTGTGTAGGTGGCCAAGTGAATGTGAGCAGCATTTGTCACTATAGGGGCTCTCCCTTTTTCGGTTCATTCATCAGTTCATCAGATAGATAGGTGCCAGACCTGGGTTCCGTGGGCCCAGAGAGGGCTAAAGAAATTGGTGTCATGGGCAATAGGGGCTGAGCTGGGTATGTGGCTAAGTCCCAGTGAGTGATTGAAGGAGGAGGGGTGGTGTCTCGGGGGTAGGGCAGAGGTGGGAGGCTGCGGAAGAGGTTTTTGGGAGGCGGTGACAGTTGAGTAGAGTTCTGAAAGAGTCCCTTCTCATTCCTTCACACACTATTTCCTGTGGCTGATTTTCTTAAGTATTTTGTTTTTTAACCTCATCCTCCTGGAGAGCCCTTTGTTGTGGAGAGAATATACTTAGGACAGGTGGGTCACTGAGGCAGAGGTGTGGCCAGCCACTGACCGGCCAGAGCTGCTGGCCAGGGGAGGTGAAGGCCCCTCTCAGGTGAGCCGTGCCGGCTTCATCACCTGGTCTGTGACTCCACATTGCCCTGCCCAGGCTTGAAGGTGGGGTCCTCAGAGGCCCGTGGTGCAGGGAAGGTGATGGGTGGAGTGGGGTGGACGTTGTTTGGCCAGCGCTGACAGTGACAAGGAAGCCCCCAGCAGGCCCCGATCTAGCACCTTTGACTCAGGCTCTGGATTGTCTTCTGCAAATGCCGGCATCGATCGGCCTCCAGGAGCGACTCCCAGGACTCAGCCCATGAAGGCTACACTTGGCAGTAGCAGCATGACGTCCGTCTGTGCAGTGGGGGTCGATCATGACTCTAGGGGGCTGTGGGAGAGAGAGAGGACTCAGTGAGCTGGAAGACAGCTCTGCTCATCTCTCTGAGCAGGAGCTGGGTCCTGAGCTGGCCCAGCAGCCTCCTGGCCCCTCCCTTCTTTTTGTATAAGCAGAGGGCAGCGCAGCTCTGGCCTGAAAGTCATGAGCCTGGTTTCTTCTGTTCCCTGCTGTGTGGCCTTGGGCACAGCACTGCCCCTTTCTGGGCCTCTACCTTCCCATCTCACCAGTGAGAGGGCATTGAAAAGATGGACTCATTGGTCTTGGTCTTCGCGGCCCAGCTGGCCCCAAATGTCTCTGGATCCTTAGATGAGACAGGCCTGGAGAACTCCACTGAGTGCTGTCAGCTACATGGATGGCCCTGGGCCATTCATAGCGTGGATGTGGACTCACGTGGACGTGGCAGGGTGCAGGCCTCTGACCGGCAGTGGCCAGGGTGAGAGTGAGGGTTGAAGCATCTTGTCCAGGGGACTGGTCTTTTGCCTGCCATGTGGAATGGGGTGGCCTAGAGACGCGACTTTGAGATTTGGCTCTCACTAACCCTTTGCTTTCTAAAGCTCAGTGTTCCAATCTGCAAAATGGGGATGGAGGAGCCCCATCTCTGGATTATTGGTGTATTTGCACATGATACTGTTAACTCCGCACCTGGAAGGTTTTGTTGTTACAGAAAGGATAGGCTGTGTGTGGCCAGGGATGGCTGGAAGGGCTGCCCTGCCAGCCATGGGCTTGCAGGGGGGACAGACAAGCACATGGATGAGCTGGGTCCAGTGGGGTGGTCAATACCAATGGCCAGCGGCATAGCCCACGCCAGTCAGAAAATGTCAGCTCACGGGAGGAGGCAGTCAGTGCTGTGGGCAGGCCAGACTCCCAGCTCTGGGGCCGATCATCCCCTTCTGCCTGGACACCCAGTGGTGGGGAGTCATCATCTTACAAGGCAGCTCCTTTTTGTGGGTTAGTTCTGAGAACGAAAAGTTCTTCCTGATACTCATATGAAACCTGTCTCCCTGGCACTCCTGCCCATTGAATGATCACTGAAGCCTTCTAGAAAAATAACAACAGAACATATGATGTACAATATATATGTGGAGAATATCCTATATAATAAAATCCTAATATGCAAATCAACCAAACGGCGGAATGACCGTTCACTATGACACGCACTGACCACCAGGGGGCAGATGCTCAATGCCAGAGCTACCCACTGGTGGTCAGTGCGCTCCCACAGGGGGCGGGCTCACAGCTGGTGAGCGCAGAGGCGGTGGCAGGAGCTTCTCCCGCCTCCGCGGCAGCGCTAAGGACCCCTCAGGGGATGTCCAACTGCCGGCCCCGAGGGGTCCTGGACTGTGAAAGGGTGCAGGCTGGGCTGAGGGCCCCCCCCACCAGTGCACGAATGTTGTGCACTGAGGCTCTAGTATTATTATGATGTTTACTGAGTGCTCAAGGCAGTGTCCTCAGTGTTGTAATTAGTTCATTTTTAAGATTCCTTTTACGAATCGGAGGTAGAGTTCATCTGAGTCAGTATGTAGTTTCTGTGACTGCTCTCCGGGTTAAAGAACAGGACGTCCATCCTGACAGCGGGCCGTGGCCCCGTGCCCAGGAGCAGAATGGGAGGGCACAGCGCGGCCATCTGAAACCCTCGCGGAGGCTGCTTGTTCTGTTACTATCTCCTCACCTATCTCAGGTTCCAATTCCCTCTGCGTGATGTTCTTTCTGAAGACCATCTCCCAGCCAGGGGAGACAGCAGCAAAATGAAGTCATTAAGTAGCTCTGTCCTCCCACCACCCTGGGCTGTTAACGCTCAGGGCCCCCTTGTCCCTGGGTGTCTTGCTCCAGACGTGCACATCAGTCGTTGGCAGCAGAGCCTGGCTTGGGTGGGGCAGAGCAAGGGCAGAACAAGGACTCGGTGTCTGGTCCGGCTCGTTGGCGTTGCCTACACCTTGGCCCTGGCTGTCAGCAGTGAATGGCCACATGGCACCTTTAGGGTGAAAGACAGGGGCTGCAAAGGTGCTGCCTCCAGGTTGCCTCCCGATTCCACTCCAGACTCGCCACCATATCGCTCATGTCATCACCAGTGACCCCTGTGGCTAGTGCAGTGGCTAGTTCTCGGGCCTTGTGACCTTTCAGAGATGATCTTTGTCTCCTCCAGATGTCACCCCTCTGGCTGTTCCTTCTCCTGGAACACAGGCTCCACATCTCCTGGATTTCTTTGCATTGGCAGGCCCGGCCCAGCTCCTCTATCTATTCTTCATGTTCTCACTCCCATGTGATCTCTAGTCTCAGGGCGTCGGGTACGGTCTCTATGCTGACGACGCTGGGATGGCTGCCTTCTGCCTGGGCCTCCTCGCAGAGGAGATTCCAGACTCGTGTACCCACCTCTCCTCACCATTTCCACCGGGATGTCTAAGGGCTCTCCGCCTCAGTGTGTCTGAAGCTGAGTCCTGATCCTCCCCCCAAAACACCTGCTGCCCCTGCAGCCTGTGCCATCTCAGGTAGTTGCACCTCTATCCTTCCAGTTGCTCAGGCCAGAAGCTTGGGGTCATCCCTGACTCTTCCCCTTCACCTCTCATCCAGTTCATCTGATGTCCTGTGGCTCTAGCTTCAAGATATTTCCAGAACCTTCTCACTTCCCACCCCTTCCTCAGCTACCCCCAGGGTCCAAGCTT